ATACAGTCCACCCAAGAAACATTTCTGCGTTTTTCGTTTTCTGGGTTTTGGAAATTAAAATTTGTAGAAAAAGCTCTACAAATCACTAAGGTCCTTCGAGCCGGATGAGGCTCAGATTCACCATAATCAACTTTATGTTTCATCGGGACACGGTACGTAACCTCCAAATGACCTCGTCGGACAGNTCGGACAACTCATCGGAAGCCGGTTCATCGCTTGCCAGTAGCGCCGTTGCTGAAGCAGCAGCTCGCAATGTACGTGTTAAAGTTAAGCAGCGTGCAAATTTGCTGGCACGTTTGCAATCTTGGCACATTGGCATCGACGGCCCTCAGCCACTGCGCCAGCTGGAAGTCAAATTGGCCTTAGTGGAGCGCCACTACAACGCACTTGAAGAACTGCAAACTCAACTGGAGAAGCTTGATGAGTCGCAGCTAGAGGAAGACCATCGGGCTGCCTTTGGACAGTCGTATATCCAAGCAAAGGCAGCACTCACCGACCGCATGGCCACACTACAAGCCATGGAAAGTCCGCAGCAGTTCAGCAGCACGCATATTTTCAACGAGCGCAAACAATCTGGCCGCATTAACTTGCCAAAACTTCAATTGACGCGCTTCAGCGGAGAACAGCGTGATTGGTTGGACTTTTACAACGTTTTTTCAACTCTCGTCCACAACAACAAAGATCTGTCCGATGTTGAAAAATTCCAGTATCTGCGTTCGTGCTTAACAGACAAGGCATCGCGGCTGATTCAGTCACTCGAGGTGACGAGTGTCAATTATAAGGTTGCGTTGGAACTTATCGTCGCTCGGTTCAACAACAGCCGCCTCATTTTTCAAACGCACATGCTGCAGATTTGTGACATCCTACCACTATCGTCAGCGACAGTACCAGCTCTTCGTAATTTCATCGACATCGTTAATGTAAATCTTCGCGCAATGCAGTCATTGGCCACAGCCCAGCAAATAGGTGATCGAATTTCGTTGTACATAGTGTCGAAAAAGCTAGATGCACCCACGCTTACACGGTGGGAATAGGAGGTATCCGCCAAGTGGAAACCCTCTCAGTCATCACAACTGCGGATGCCAACATGGGCCGATCTCGCCACATTCTTAGAAAGCCGTTGCCAGACTTTCAACATGCTGGAGGCAACTCAATCTGTCAAGACTCTATCCACTAAAAAACCACTACCGAAGAAGAATCAGCACGCCTTTGTAATCACAG